AAAATGCCTGCAGTACTATTTAATCTAATTAGCCATTGTCAATTGATTAGGGAAACATCCCTTGATGTTTAAATGGTTTACTGAATAACATCAAGAGCAGTAACAGCAACTTGTGTGTTTGCAATTTTTCTAATGTTGTAAGCCAATCCCCCCCCCAAAAAGTGTGATAAGTTTAAAAAGACTTATGTTTTTCCACATGTTTTTGACACCACTGTCAGCCGTTGAGTTGCAATGTGCGAGCTAGCTAATGAGTCATTGGTAGGACTTGGGCAAACATTGCGTTTTCTCACAATCAAAGTTGATTGAATCACATTCTGTTTATACAGCACCCGACAACAAAGAATCCATTTGAAGAATACTCCATGATTAATATCTCCTGGTTACAATGGTTATTTTTTCAGCAAAGTAAAGTGGGCAGCACAAAGCTCCAAATAAAGTATATGTATAAGATGAACCGAGTCAATTATGGCAGTGTGATGAGGGTGTTATCTGATTATTTCCTTTCTGCCTAATGCAGTGTTTTTCTTCTGTAACCTTTAGAGTTTAATGATGCTGTGCCTGACTTGGCTCAACAAAGATCATAAACCAAGCTGGGACATTTTGTATTGCTTGTGATGATAAACGTGTTGCGCTGACAGGGGAATTTAACTATCACCGTTTAAAATATAACTTCTAATTTGCTAGAACATTGCACACTGAATGTGTTAAGTGTATAGGCTGATATTGTAATAAACCAGTTTCTGTCTCTGATTCTCCTACTTCTAACGAGATTCAAAATCTCAGGATTTCAGAAGGGACTCTTTTTGTCAATTTGCTACTGTTATTGGTTTTATATAATACAATGAATTTGATTTTATATTGTGCCATTCATGCAATTGAAGCATGTTACAAGGCCTAATAGTTTTTAAAGCATAGTTTTATATTTTTGTATACAGTCTTGGCAGTAATTTGCTCTCAGCATGGTCCCACAAAAAACAATAACATTGATGACTGATTAATCAGTTTTACTGAAGATAGTGGTTGAAGGACAATTCTCCTGCCAAAACCACACTGTCTGAACAGTACTATGAGATCTTTCATCCCCAGTAAATGGTAGTTTAACATTGCATACAGATGCAAACAGTTATGATAGTGCTCAGTTCCTTCAGTACTGCACTGTGAGGATTTGACTCTCTGGCCTACTGGTCAAGGCTGTTACAAATGTGCACAGGACGTTCACCTATTTGTTCATTCACATTGCTTCACATCTGCTTTATGTCTGATTATACATCATTGACTGGACTGTGCACATTTATTCACAAAGTGATAGTTTTCCATATCTTATTCATGTATTCAAGAGCATGTGCACTTCAAGACTGGCATCACTGGTTAGCATTGTGGAACCATGGTTTGTTTTAGACATCCCAGTCCTAGCATGACCCAAATCAATTGAAGTGCTTCAACTGTCCCTTCTTGAACAATAATTCACCTTCTTGAGTTATGTTGATAACCTCTGTTTCAGTGGCATGTAACAATGAAACATCAGATATCAACAATCCTCAGTGTGAAAAAGTTTCTTGCACCTTCTTCCACCTCAAAGTGGATTGGCAGTTGGCAGCCCAGAGCAGGGAAGGCAGCGATGCGGGGGCAGCAGCGCGGAGCATGGTGCCAGTGGCCCACTGCAGACCATGTCAGTGGCCAGTGGCCAGACCACATGGAGGTCCTTGTGCTGGACTACTGTGGAGAGCTCTTGGAGAGAGACTGTGATGTTTGTTTGTCTTTTTAACTCTTTGCTTCTTGTTTTTCTGACCTACAGTTGTACTGTGTATAGCTGTAATGTGACTTTTTATTCCTCTTCATTTCTCTATTCAGTAACTAAAGCTTGTACCTAGGTAGTCTGTACCTAAGATGGCACCATGTGTTGGTGATATTGTTACACTGTAACTAATCATGTAACTGATAAAACTGTACCTA